AGCTAGGATTACAGGCATGCACCACCAGGCCCGACTAATTTTGTATTTTTAGTAGAGATGTGGTTTTACCATGCTGGTCAGGCTGGTCTCAAACTCCTGACCTCATGTGATCCACCCACCTCAGCCTCCCAAAGTGCTGGGATTACAGGCGTGAGCTACTATGCCTGGCCAGTAAACTCTTACATGAAACATCTAAATATCATCTGATTGTAAAATTAGAATCACAACTACCCAAGGTTGGGACTTCACATTAGATGGTGCACTATGTGATGCAAACTTTAAAGCAAAAGGTCAGCACGTCCTCGAGTCAAAATCCAGAGGCAGAATTCACGAGTGGAGCTCATCCTTTATAAATAGCTTAGTGAGGATAGAGGTCTGTGGAAAATCGCTTGGGGGAGATTAGACTTGAAAGGTGAATCAATGTCACCGTCCTCAGCCTGAATGGCAGCCACCCTTTTCCCCTCCAGAGGGGGACATAAGGCACACTAACCTGGCCAAAAGATATTTTCAAGTGTGAACTCTAACCAAGAAGAAAGAGCGGCTACTGTATACTCCAGGCTGTGATTCAGGAGAAAGGAATCCAAGGACAGACTTTTGGGATTATTGACTGCTGTCACCAAGTATTCAGAATAGTGGAACAATGACAGGGAGCACATGTACCTATTTAAAGACAAAAAGAGAGTTAAGTTGGGACAAGAGAACCAAGTTAGCCGTAAGTGCAGATGTCGGTCTCCTGAGCTGTCCCTAAGTCCATGAGGCCCTGTTCTCACCTGTCTGAGAGTGGACACAGGTGCCCATCGCAGCATCTACTACCTCAGGCTTGCAAGAAGTGGAGTTTTTAAGGGACTACTTTTGTTTCTAGTCTTTTTTTTTTTTTTAAACAGAGTCTCGTTGTGTCACCCAGGCTGGAGTGCAATAGTGCGATCTCGGCTCACTGCAACCTCTGCCTCCCAGGTTCAAGCGATTCTCCTGCCTCAGCCTCCCAAGTAGCTCAGACTACAGGTGCCCACCACCACGCCCGGCTAATTTTTGTATTTTCAGTAGAGACAGGGTTTTGCTATGCTGGCAAGGCTGGTCTCGAACTCCTGGCCTCACTATGTTGGCTAAGCTGGTCTTGAACTCCTGACCTCGTGATCTGTCCACCTCGGCCTCCTAAAGTGCTGGGATTACAGGCGTGAGCCACCGCACCCAGCAAGGGACTGTTTTTGAATGTCACAGGCAAAACAAACCCACAGGTCACGGAGGCATTATGGACCCTTCTGTCCTTTAAAAATGACACTACACACAATAAAACATGAAAGAGGGAGATAACAACATAAAGGAGTGATGTATGTCGGATACAAAATTTAACAGAACTGAAATAATTCCAGCAAAGGATTAGATGGCTCAAAATGTTGATAAGAGGAGATTTAAAACTTTTTACCTTGAAGCCACTGGTTCATATCCAGGTCAGACTAGAAGGCTCAAGGGACTGAAATCATAGTGTAGGGAAAAATCCTACAATGGCTGTGGGGATGCACTAGATGTGACCTAATAGAAATTAGAGATGAAAAAGGCCTATGAAGACAAGCCAGAGCCCTGCCCCTGCCCGCCACCGAGGACCTGCACCCCTTCCGGGAAGGGCTGCTCATGTTACTGAATGCTGTCACCACAGCTGCTGATGACAGCGCCTTTGGGGGTGCCAGGGAGATCTGCTTCTGCCTGATTCACAACCAACCCACAGGCACGAAATCACAAGGGCTGAAATGTGAGCAACTAGGGGGAAGCCAGACTTGTTTCCAGAGAAACCTGAACAGCCTTCTGCCGGTCACAGATGAGACAGGGATGAGGAAATGCCACTACTGACCCTCTGATCTGTCCACCCTCGCCTGAAAACCAGTATTCCAAAAGGAATTCTTACCAGCCAAAGTGACTCCAAGAAGACTGGCTAAAACTTAGCAGCATGCCGCAGCCGAACACAAACCCCAGGAAACAAGCTCGGATGGCTATCTGAAAGGAACCAAGAGCAGCTCAGTCACTCGCAGTCCTCAGAGTACAGATCTGGGCTGCTGACCTTCCCAGAATAGGCAGGCCACAGGCAAGCAGATACAGCCGATTTGCTGAGATTGAAAGGGAGAAGTGGGCGACCTGGGTTCAAATTCTGCACCCACTTCTCTCTGGCTGTGTGGCCTCCCAAGTTATTTAACCTCTCTGGGCTTGCTTCCCCATCTACACCCAGGGGATAACAGTACCTACCATTTAGGACTGTGGTTAGAATCACACACGTAAAACACTTAAGACTAACTGCTACCTAAATTTTAGCTGCCACTATTATGATTATTCACGATGATTATTCACGGCTGTAGGAAAACTGCTTAAGCCTAGTTTATGAGGTCTGGGCACCCGAGCCCGTGCGCCCAGCCCCACCCACGTCACTGCGGGGCCTTTGACCTGAGACAGGGCAGCAGGTAGGTCTCTGCACCTGAAGTTACATAAAAGCACTCGCGGGCTCGCTCACTCCCACCCCACGCGCACCAGCTGAGCTGCACGAGCTGCAATTTAACACCCACTATTCGGGTGCAGGGCGCCCAAGCCCGGAGAGGGAGGGTCCCTTCCTGAGACCTAAACTGGTGGGTGAAGAGCGCGCGCGTGGGAGGCTGCTGCGGGCCCGGGGAGAAAGGTGCCCACGCGCCGCGCCA